GGTCCCCATCGAAGGCGGCCTCCAGCAGGCGGTGGCGGCGCTGCAGCTCCTCCCGCCGCGCTCGCTCTGCTGCCTCCTCCTGCTCGCGCTGCCGCCTCGCCGCCTCCTGCTCCCGGCGCACCAAGGCCAGGTAGGCCTGCAAGACATGGTCCGTGGTCACCGGCCCCAGCAGGCCAGAACACTGCCTCAGTATCCGCAGCTCACGGTCACTGTGCAGTCCAGACATCATGTCCACAACCTTGAGGTCCCCTCTAAAACCCAAGGCCACTGCTCCCCTTCACACTCTGTCCAGACCTTCCCTCTTCCTCGGGTGCTGGCACCCAGGGTCTTGTGGCTAGACCCTGCTCACCTCTCTCTGCAGCTTCTCCATTTCATCCAGGTACTTCTGGCGCTCCTGCCCACGGCGCGCCAGCTCCTTTCGTGCCAGGTGTTGCCGGAAGGCACACTGGATGATCGTGGCGGCTTTGTCCTGGGCGGTTGGGGCTGGAGTGAGGAGAGTAGAGAGATTTGGACCCCAGTCCTCCTTGTTAGCCATACAGAGGACCTGAATGCCTCTCAGAAGGCACAAAGCCCGATGCAGTGACCATGCTTGTCTCCCGAGACTCAGGAGCAGCCACTGAGTTCAGTAGTTTGAAACCAGCCAGGGCTCTGTGGTAGACAGTGTGTCTGTCAACAGTGATAAAAAGTCCTAAACGGCTGAGTCAGAATAATGCTCCCTCAGTAGAACCAGGGAAGGAGTGTGTCCAGGCTGAAGCAGGAAGTCCACATCTCCAGGATCTGAAAATCACTAGAAATCTGCAGCTTCTAAGATGCCATCTGAGAAAAGGACAGTAAACTGCCACTGGTCCTCAGGGCTCACACACCAGAGCCAGAGGCCCAACACATCCTCAAAGCGTGGCAGTTGCAGCTAAGCCATAAACTGCCTGGAAAGGGGAGAGGGCTCAAATGGTCTCAGCCCACAGCCCAGAAGAGGGTATGAGTCTAGAACGTGCCACAGCCACACACATATTCAGGCCATGTTGCAGGAGTCTCCATGCTGGCCTGGCACCATCACTGGTGAGTAAACTCAGGGGCACTACTACACTCCACTAGGTCTCTTTGTCTCTTCCCGTGTGTATGTGTGGGGGGGATGGGGGCACACAGTGAGATCAGCAGCTCAAGTGCTAGAAGATACAAACAAAAGCAAGGTATCCAGATAATGCCTATTGCACAAAACATAGATGAAAATCTTATCTAGCAGGGACTCCAAGACAGGCTGAGTAGACCACCAGGATAAGTGAAAGATAAGTCAGTTCGTGGAAAGAAAGAAACAGAAGACAAGATTCAGGAGCAAGAAGAGTGTGCAGTATGGTGTGGCTCTGCAGAGGGGAGGTTCCAGGTGACCCAGTCGAGGGACAGCATAGAGCAGAAACCAGGCAGAAGATAAAACAGCACAGCACCGACAACAAAGTCCATAACAGAGGCAGACAGTGGAAGGAAGAGACTGTGCTTAAGTGTAACAGTGTAATAGAAAGAGCCAAAGGTAGAATTGGTAACCTACAATAGAATATAAGTAAAATATTTGGAAAAAGAGACAAAAGAAAATGGCTAATATGGATACAACTGGAATAATAGATCATCAGCTTTGGAAGACAGTTTTTTGAGACAGAGTTTCTCTGTGCAACATCTCTGGCTATCCTGGGAACTCAATTTGTAGACCAGGTGGACCTTGAACTCACAGAGATCCACCAGTCTCTGTCTCTTGAGTGCTGGGATTGAAGGCATTTTGTTTGGTTGGAAGAGTTTTGAAAGCTAACAAAAGACATCAAGTCACAGCTCTGAAATGCATTTTGAATTTCAATAATGGTAAATACAAAAGTAAGCAAGCAGCCAGGCGTTGGTGGCCCATGCCTTTAATCCCAGCACTCGGGAGGCAG